AAGTGAGGTCATAAACGACACACGAGAAATAGAGGGAGAGGGTGACAGGACGAGAGAGAATGATAAAGAGAGAGGTTGACAGGAGGACGAGGGAGACGAACGCTAGAGCAACGACAGAGGGACATTTAGAGACTGATGGCGCAAACCTTTTAGGCAAACTAATGCACCGAACCTGTTACATCAGAGAGGCTACTGCTCGCACTGTCCAACCCCCATGCTCTTCGCCTATCCCTCGCGCTGCGCCACTGTGTGTGGACCTACCAGCTGGATTCATTATGGGAAATACATCCTGTGTCAGCCGTGGACGCTGGATTTTTGCGGGCCCGAGACTGACTCCTTTGGGCCATCCAGATGACTACAGGTTAATCTCAATTGATAAATGACAGATATTATTTGCGAGAGGGTACCTTTTGTTATTTGTTAATTATTTGTATACGTATGTTCGTTTAGATAAGATTTTGGATTTCACTATAAAAATTGTGTGTGATTGTATGGCAAATATGTAAATTTGTCGGAGAATGAAATTTATTTTCGTAATTTATTACCATGGCGAATTTGTAACTATTAATTTAGGTATTATTCCATCGACCTATATACCGACTTTGTATACGAGATACTTAATCACTTTATATCATTTCGATAATTAATATCGAATGTATGCTCATTTTATAAAATTCCAATAATGTTATACCATTATTTATTCCATACTTTGATATATATTATTCTCAACTTTTAAAGTATGTAAATTAATATCATGCGTTCGACAATAATCATACGAATTATTTTCAAAAACAAACTATCTATCCCAATATTATTATCACCCCAAAACGTATATCTTGGTAGTAGTAATAGTGTAATCCAAGAATGACGGGGCAGCGAGCTCAACAACATTTTTAGGCCTGGATCATACGGGGGGAGATGTTTACTTGATGGGGTGATCTCCATTGGAGTGAAGTCAACTACCCCTGATAGAAAGTGTCCCATTAAAATCGTGAACCTGATCCCTAAAGAAATGATCTAAAAACAGAAACTAATATTCTATGAAACATATATACTCAGGTGTTCTGTTGTAGATACAATATCCTCTACAATATTAAATATATTCCAAAATGAAGATATCAAAATATTTCGTAAACATTTGATTTATAATTTGCCGAAAACGTTAACGAAGAAGACGAAGTTTCATTTAATTTCATATTTCTTTAATCTACTTGTAAACTCATCAATGAGCGTTAACCAACACTGTGTACACATAGCTGTCCCTGTCCCCACCACGCGATATCCATAAAATGTCGAACAGCGCTCGCACAAGCTCACGAGATGATGTTACACAGTTTTATCATAGGGGCAAGGATAAAAACTATCGGAAGATCTAACGGTGCCCGACTTAATTACAATGTAGCATATGGACCGGACCCCAAGTTAGTTCCCTTTCCTCCGCGGTATGAATATCGCATTAAGCCACGAGTGAGAGATAGCTCCGGGCAGGGGTGGGGCCCCCGATGGGAAACTACGAATTTAATAGAATAATAAATGGGCCGTCTGTGTTGCAACCGTGCCGCAGCACCGGATGATAGCGTGTGCGAAAGATCGCCACGTGATAATTTGGATTTTTCCCTTGGAGCAACTTAATTTCCTCGATGCTTTCAGCGTTCCTTCGGCAGTGGACGTACAGGGAGATGCGCAGGTGAGCGCAGACGTGCGCTTAAATCGACGCCATGTTCGTAATAATGCACGAGAAACGTAGGAAGGAAGTTGTCTGCTCCGCAACTTTTATAACAGTGATTATGATAATGGCCGGCACTGAGCGGCACAGTTCTTTTTAGGAAATATTAAACCCATGGATTATAGATTGTAATATCGCGGCGTGGCAGACGGGTTCGGGCAATATTGTTCGGTCGTTCTTTAGCCGGACGAAATTTTCCACGCGAGCCGCGCACGAATATTGCCGGTTTCCGCGGCAAAGTTTACAAAATAAACAGACCTCGTATGCACGTGTATCGCGTGGGGGATGATCATGAACTGAACCAGCAGGTCTCGCTTGTAGCATGGATAGAGATACTCGATAATTATGTAATACTAATAAAAGAGTTAATTACAAGATTCGATAAACAACAATTCATATAGAAAACAAACCGAAATGAATTATAACAAATCTGTATCTCATACAACCACACTATAAATACTTAACTGAGTTAACGAAACATTCGTATTTTCTATCTAAAATACGAATAAAATTCCTCCGTGGGATAAAACATTTATTATTGATACACGATCCACCTTCAACATACTATCTAATGGAAGAGATTGCGTTTCAAAATATTCCAAAGCGTTGTTCAATTTCGTCGGCTGCGAATTTCGGCGCGTAGACTGCGAGCAATCCGGGGCACATGTCAGGCACGGTTTACAAAATAAACACTCGCGCTTTGCGCATCGGAAAGGGCAGAGAGAGATGGAGGAAGAGAGAGAGAGAGAGAGAGAGAGGGAGAGAGTGAGTCGGTGGAGGCGACGATGGGGCTAGGGACAGCGTCCGTTGCGCACTGATAACACAATTAGCTTGTCTCGTCATGCGCGACCTCTGATAAGGGATTCCCTCACTCTTGGTCCTGTCTAACATCCCCCACCAAACGGTTCCTCTCTGTGCCCGCTCGCTTTCGCTCCGTTTCCCGCGTCCCGTCTCTCTTCTGTGCCCGCGATCTTTCCTCGTCCCTCTTTGTCCACTTCAGGCGTGCACCGAGCCAGGATCTCTGCTCGTCAGCCGAGCAAATCCAGACGAGGAGATCCTTTGGGAGTACACGGCGTGACAAGGGCGGCGGGGGTGCAGCTTAACCCTCTCTCCGGAATAGCGAAGGGACGCAACAGCGGGGTGAGCCGACCGACCCCAACGTTAATACCTTCCGGCAGGTTTTCTTCACTTGATTTATTCCGTAGGGGGATGAAATCGCGCGGCACGGCACGCACGTGCGTGCACACGCACGGCCGTGCCGGTTTTCGCACGGGCACGCGACTCTGTGTAGGTACCATCCGACGGGGGCGGACCTGATACGCCTGCCGAGCGAGAAGACACTTGAACGGAGCCCGCGGATGTCCAGATCGCGCCCTCCAGGCCGCGCTCGGCTGCCGGGGGATGTTATCGCCGTTCGCCGCGCGGCAAAACCCGATTTTGCGGGAGAAGGTAATTTTCTGGAGAACACGTTTTCCGCTTTTATTGAGAATTGTGAGATCTCTTTTGTTGCCTGAATGAGTTGGTGATTCTAGGGTTGAGTTTAATGTTTGCTGTATGGATTGATGTGTTTTAGGTAGTGCAAGAGATTTTGGGAATCGGTCCACTGTCTGTTAGTGTTATTTTCTTCTTTCGAGATTGAAAGGGGTTTTCAAATCTTTGTTAAATTTTTTATCGCATTTGATTTTAAATCAATGAAAATTTGTAATCTATTGATGTGTTCAGTAAATGTTTCATTATGTAATGTGCTGGGGTAAAAAAATTTTTGAGTAGGTTAGAGATTTATCGTACTGTAAGTGTTGGACTATTATAAATTTAGTATTTGTTTCGTAGAAGATCAAAAACGCACTAAGAATACTTATCATTATCCTTTAATGTTTTTGATTTTTAATAAGTAAAAGAGTGGTAAACAATTAAGAAGTAAATATAAATAATATCTTCCTATTTGCTGATAAAGAAATATGGATTGGAACTATATAAATTAAGGAAGCGAAGAATATTAGGCATTCAAGTTCTATTATTGTATTTCAAATAAGCAAATCATTGGTTTAACCGTAAAAATAACGTTAATTTAAGAGCACACGCGGCCATAAATGCACCGGTTAATATTATCTTCGAGAAATCACGCTGCATGAAGCGTTTGGCCTTTTAACCTATTTTTTACCAATATGTCTATCTGACCCGGTCCCTAAAACCGCACCTGAACCGGTTTCAGCACATCAGCATGTATTAAAGAGATTGCCAATTTTGCAACAGCGTTTTTCTATTCCATGTACATAACAGAGCAGTGTCAAATACATTACACGAAAAAGAAAACATTGAAGAAAATTCACCAAAAAACATGTAGCATGAAAGTATTAAAAACACAAAAACAAATTTTCCATTATCAAGTGAAGTGAAACTCAAACAGCTACAAGTAAAACAATCATAATTTCATCAAAGCGTACTTTTCAGCTTATAAAGATAATTACTTACAACTATCACAGCTTATGTGCATCTACCAAAACAAAAATTTCCATACATTCTCTCCAATCTGAACCGAAAAACAAAATATCAATATTAAAACGTTCTGATCGGCTCTTTATGCGCATAATCGCATAAAATCTTTGTACTCTACGGTCTGTAAAGCGAAACACGTTAGCAAGTGCTACAGCTCAAATATGTCTCCCAAACCAAAAATTTTCAGAAACTTCCTTCAAGGAAACCGTGTCCTCGGTGTGTGATCTGCAAACGCGACACTCGTCCGAAACACTGTTTCCTGAAAGAAACCGCGAAATGGAAGCCAGTGGGCCCCGGAGGATCGAAGGAAGGTGCCGCGACGTGTGACGGGTGCCCGCGATTGAAGAGAAGAGGCCACCGGGAAGCAGCCGGCAGCGGTAGCCATAGGCGGAGGCGCAGTGGAACATAGGGGGTGGAAACGGTGCGGTAATAGCATAAATCCGTGGTTGTAGTCGGGTCTACCGTGCCGCGTCGGGTAGAGGTGGAAGGGACAGGCCAGGGTACAGCCGACTCTCGGAAGAAACGACAGTCGCCACTCGACGCCTGCAGCGAACGGAGGGTAAGCTCTGCGCAGACGCGAGCCGCATTTTTCGGACAGAGTGCATTCGTTCGGCCGACGAACGAAGCGATCGAAAACTGGTTTCGAACGTGGATCATGATCCCGGGTCGCGTTAAGTCGGATTAACGAGGGATCCGTCAAATTCCGCGCGAATCACTCTATCGTTCGGCACGGGGAAACGGAGAAACGTCGAGAAATAAAAGAAACAGAAACGCCGTTCGAGGCTCGCGCGGTTGGAAACCGGACGGAGCCGCGACACCGAAAGTCCGAGAGAAAAGAAGCAGCGCGGACAGCTGGAGAAAACCTCCTCCAAAAGAAAAATACGGCATGTACTTGAAACTTATGACAGTGAATTTCATCGATCCGTAAGATCCGATCGAAAATTGAAGTGGTACGGTGAAAAAAAGAGTGTCTTGGAAGACGCGCACGCACCGCGCGGGGCAGCCGGCTGGAACGAAAGAGGGATATTCGAACGTGGCACGCATGTCGACAGAGTGAGAGAGAGGGAGAGAGAGAGGAAGAGAGAGAGGAGGAAAAAAAGAGCTCGTGAAAGTGTCCGCGCGACTGAATTGTCAGTGAAGGAGACACGTCTGCCGGCGTCTACCGACGATCTATCGATGGAACAGGTGCGAGCCACGTTTCCGAAGGCGAAACCGAACAGCAACAGTACCAGCTCGCTAAGACGGCGAGGAGTTAGCAGCCAGGATGAAATAACGCACCGGCGAACCAGACGCGGTTCGTAATGACCGAGGAAACTGCAAACGAATAAACTGGCTAGCGCAATCTTTCACGGACACATGATTACCGGCAGGACGAAACAGTGGTCCTCTCTTGGCCGAAACGTTTTTCCAAGTGGACAACGACGACGTGTACCTTTGTAACCTTAAAACGCGTTGTGCTATTGTGAGAGTGATCTTTTCCTCTTTATTCTTCTTCGTCGTCGTCGTCGTCGTGGTCGTGGTCTTCTTCTTCCGCTTCTGCCTTTTCTTGTTCGCCTTCTCTTCTTTGCGTGACCGAGTGGTTGTTGGTTTCTTGTTTCCCTCTTGGTGTACACGAGCACAGCTGATCGCGAGTGCCGCAAGAATCCCTTTGGGACTTGCGTACCGAACAATCGTCGTTACCGATTCAACGACCGAAGGCGAAACACTGGGAAACGTGGACTAGCCGTAGGAGCCACGGAAACGGAATAGTCGCGCTAAATAAATAACGCCGCGGGACCACTGTCTGCGACACGAACTACTCGAATGGTAAGTACACACACGTCGCGTCGTGTTAATTCATACAACGATAAAAATGCGGTCGAAGGTGCGATCGCGTGAACGATTCTCTTTGGAGCAAATGGTATCGGAATGTTTATTGTGCGACGAGGAGAAGTTTGTTGGGGGTTTTTGTGTAAAATGTTATTGAGATTATGGGCCTGTTTGCATTGACGTTTCTAACATTGCCGGGAATTCTTATTTACTACGATGTCTCGTATACTTGAATTAATTAAACATTCATTAAACAGGTAGATACTATTTTAAGATACGTAAATAGATCTTGTAATTGTTTTGGATCAATGTACATGTATGAAAAGAAATTAGCGTTGATAATCAGTTACATTACGTGATAATGTATTCCACATTAGAAATTGAATTAAAAATGAGGTTATACGTACTAAACTTTGTTCAGAAGGAAAACGTTATTTTTCAAAGATTTAATGACGTTAATACTCCAAAACTGTACAGAAATTTTAGATATGAACGCACTTGATACAAAATTATGCTTAGAAGTAACTCGTTCTCACATATTAAGTAGTGCAGAACAATGAAAGAAGTAGTTTACGTAAAATTATATTCATTTCGAACATTGCGTATTTTGTGCATCACTGATTGTGAATTTATTGCTGGCCGTTCTCTTTAAAGGCGCATGTGAAACAAACTTTACTTTTAAACTTTACTTTTTACTATGATTAAAATGATATTTTGATTATCGAAATTAGAATTTCATTTTGTGTTTTGATTATTCAAGGAGGTCGTGGTCTAAGATAGTTTTACAATTATACATGTTGATGCAGCGTCTATTTGTTTGTTTGGTTAAATACATGCGATGAAAGTGAAACGACCGAGAGAATAATGAAGAAACTAATTTGATTTATTCGAGTTGGTTGTTCAGTTCGATTCGTTAGTGTATTTCATTATACAGTAGAGTGCTTATTGCGTAGTTAACTTATTAACGAAGTTTGACGTCGTGCAGTGAGAACCATCCGGTCGTTGGAAATCGTATAGCGAAGATTCGCCTTCCGCCAGGCGAATGTCTAATGTAAAAACAGAATGCTCTTGTAACCTTAATGTAAACGGAAAGTTTTGAAGTGGAACGTTTAGGACAACGTACCGGTAGCTGAGATCTCTTCATTCCAGTATATATAATTTAGTTCTGAAGAAGATTCTTAAATTATTTCTGTAATCTATTAATAATAACTTTCAAGATTACATTTTTCCATACTCCGTTCGAACTGATCGTTTACTTTCTAGTCACTCCAATTTTTAATTATACTTTTTTTAATTTATTCATGAGTAGCACGATTTAAATACTGCTGTGGAATGTTAATTAAACTGGCCTATATTGAAAAAATAATACAATATAATACAAAAATTACGACTTGAATATTATTTATTTTGATCAGCTTTTCCTGAAAACTGAGGATTCTCCCGTCTGAAAGTAAAAAATAAGTAAAAGTAAAACACCTGTATCCTTGTTCAACTAAAAAAGAATTTAACATTATATAAAACCTTTTTTCTATAAAAACATACAATTACACAATCTATTAATTACCATGAATAACACTTTCAAAAAATAACTTTAGCAACTTGCCTCTAATATTGGAAAACAATTAAGAACAATCAATACAACAGTATTAAATAAAATATCTCTCCTGTTCAGTTCTATGAAAAACAAATGTACATGTAAACATGTAATTACTATTTATCATCGTTTGAAATATTAGTGAAAAGGGTTGATCTGTTTTGTCAGCAGCACTTCCGTGACTCTAACGTCGAACGTCGGGATTGGGGTTATTGTTACGGGGCGATAAATCGATGGCCACGGCGATTGAGACAGTTACGTGACCGTTCGATTGATTAATGGCGATTCTCTTGTCCCGTGAACGGGACGGTGGCGGTTGTTTGTAAACAAATGATGCGTGCGGTGGAAGCGCGCAGAGACCGCGGCTCTGTTGATATCGCGATTCTTTGCGTAATTATTCGCGTTTGCTCGCGGCCGCGCTGCCTCATTCACCACGAGAGATGTATCACGCGCTCGTAGCCACAGGTCCGAAGATAACGAAACGCGTTGTACTCTCTGTACGCGCGCGCCGTTTCACGGATTGCTCGCCGAGTCTAAAGCCTCCTGCACACGTTGAAACATGTTGCGATGCATCGACTCGTAGCTCTTACAAAACTTGCATTAGCGTCAGTTTACCAATGCAGTATCAATTCTTAGTTTGACATGCGATGCCAACGTTGAGGCTAGAAACTATCGGACTATTTACTAACTCCAGTATTATTATCAATAATGGTAAACTATGTTAATTAGAAGAAGCAAAGAATCAAAAGCTACAACGGAGCGAGCAAAAAGTTAATCCAGAGGAACAGATTTTCCTATTCCGTGTTATTGAAAAAGCTGAAGGCGAATGAACCTATTGGTTATAGAAGTTATCTACGTATGGATGATTCAGCTCTTTATTATCTATTGAATAACACCCGCTGATGGATTAAAAGGCCTGAAGAGATTTTCTTTGCCAACTAATGCGGAATTCTGACTTCTGTGTCGATGTAAGTTGCTTTTGATGCTGAACTACATTCATTGCAACATTTATCATGAAATGGGAGTGGATGCATGCATCGAAACATGTTTCAACGTGTGTAGGGGGCTTAACACGCAACCAACAGTGACCGGACCCGGACGGGATAGAAAGTCGTAAACGGTGAATACTCGAAGAGGTGTCGGTGTATCGGGGTAACGTGAAATACTTGGACAGGTTGCTTTCAATGACTATTACGAAACCGCGTAATGGACTACGGGATAGACAATTTTCTGATCTGTCATACCCTCTTAAAGCCCTCTAAATAATTCCGAAACCTTTTCATAGTAATGCACGATTTTAAGCGGCAACTGAGGCAAAATGATTAACACTTCAATAAATTGCTTATTCTTTATGGTCTGTTTCCGTAGAAAGTTTCGATAATTAAGTAATTGGAAGTTATAACTTCAGTTCCTGATGGAAATATGGGATGCTATTTATTTGATCTTTTTGTATAGGTACATAAATCATGTCCAAAATGTTATTTCGAGTAACGGATGCTGATACACTTGTCAAAAGTTATTTGACTATAAAAACGTCACATATTGGTATTGTATATGCTCCAAATTGAGATTAATCCGACCTTTCATATTCTCATATTTAAAACTTGCTATTTCAAGCAACCTCGCCAATCTATATATTAATTTCACATTCTTAAATGCTCAAAAACTTACAAAATCAGAAGTTCCTTAATAAAAAACGGTATTTTAAATTTCCTTCGCAGTATTGGCATATTAAAAAATCATATATCAATCTACCTTGCGATCACATAAATTCAAATGTAACATCTCCAAATTATCGAGAGCTCGCGCTAACTGAAATTAGAACCGTTTCCTCGATCGCAGACTATCACGTAGGATTTATTTATCGTTCGCGTTATCGTTATCCCATTTGTACTCGTGAATAATCTATTTACGATTTGAGAACCGCTTGGACAATAAACTTGACTCGTCCCCCGGGGGCCTCGGTTACTAATTAGGGAATTTCGTGCGTGTGTATATCAGTGCCCTTTCGTTTCTCGGCCCGCATAAACTCTCCAAACATTATTAACGGCTATGGGATACCGTTACGGGGTAAGGGCCTGTGGGTCCTTCGCTACGACAGAGAACCTGCGAAATTTCTTGGTCGAGCTCTCGAAGTCTGATGTTGCCCTGGCCATGGTAGAAAGGAGAAAAAGGAGGAGAAGGAAGCATGAGAACCCCTGGGAACGTGTATATACTCGTTGGTACTGTATGCTTTGAGGATGAGTCCTCGTCGAGAAAGATAGTGAACCAAGGAACGACGATAAACTGGCGAGGGAGGGGACAGATAATACTGTAAAAAGTTAGGAACTTAATGTCTTTGACCATTAGAAGAGAGACAGGGAAAAGGAGAAAAAAAGAGGGAGACGATGAAGAGAGAGTCGAAGCCAGATACGTTCGGTGTCGGATTAATGTCCAGCGCACGGGGAAATATTTCCGCTTCCTTTCTCGTTCGATCGTACAGCTTCTATCACGGCTACCATCCCTTTTAGGCCACTCCGAATAAAGGGGGTCCAATGTATTTCCAGAATAGATTATTGGGTTTTACGGGCGACTCCGATGAATCCACAGAGATCAGGTTTACCGAGAAATGAAAGCGCAACATTTTCTGTCTGTTAATCGGTTTTGTAGGCGCGCCACGCCACGCCGCGCCGGCCCGGGGAGATATTGATATTGAAATGACACGGCGGAACGTGATCGCGCATTTAGTCACCGATGGAAACTATCAATTCCGTCGTTCATCGAGGAAAAAAAGGAATATTGTCCCGTGCACAGGGATGATATTAAGGTCAGAGTTTATCTGCGAAATTGTAACAACAACGAGTTTCCTCCTTACGTTTGACAATTTTCCTGGTGTTTTCTTTTAATCGATTGCTCGAGTAATTTGTATTCTGCGAGAGAAAGGAATTCGATGTACGCGTGAAATTTGAAACAGGAGAAATCTCGGAAGAATTTATGAATGAGACTATTTTAGTTCTCGTTTGCTGATATTCTTGAGAAAAGAAATATGTCTTTAATCAATCAATTTTGTTTAAATATCTCTGTAGTTTAGTTGTAAGGAATTTTCATTTTCTCAGTTCCTATAAGATTTTCATACGAATGTTGAGATTTTTCATTTGAAAAACACAGTAAAAACAGTTTGAAGTAATTCCTCGATTCAGTTGAAAACGCGAAGCTTTTAATTCGATTAATGATTATGAATTCACTGCAATTTCCGGAATGATCGAAAGTTTTTTCATTGCAAAATTACAAGCAGCAACGTTATGCCGCGAGAATAGAATTACTAAACAAAATGGAGGGCGACAGTGACCGATCGTTGTCGTTCTAAATGAAAACACTTCTAGAAGCCACCCGCAACGGAGGTCCAACGGGTCACAGACGAAATTATTTTTGGTTTCAATTTTCTTCGTCGACTTCTTGATCCCTCGTCCCCTTATCTCGAGACACGCTTGGACTCGAATATTTCGATAATCCAATCGATTAGAAGTTTCCGGACAAGTTTGGATCTTGAGGTCGCAGATAC